TATGAATTTGAAAAGAATATAAAATACATACTATTTAAAATTTCAATTCAGAATTTGATGGCAATTGCATGGTAAAAGATGTTTTCTCCAAAAGACACAGAAAGTTTTATAATACAGATATATGGAATTATTCATCTTAAATTTCAGGTGTACTAACATAGTTAACTGAGTAAAATCATCCTTCCTGGATCTATAAAGTTTGACTTGCCAATAGTTTTACTAAAGACATACAATAAAACCTGGCAAGATAGATAAAATTATCTCTGCTACTCAGCTGAGCAGATGGCCTGGAGTATAGAAGACATTAATATGGTAAGAAACTTAAACATTAAAGATAAAGTGCTTAATCTCTCATACACGAGAGTTTTAAATATTAGAATCAATAAGAATATTTGCATATATGGGCTTGGAGGTTGAAAATCAGTAGGAGTTTAAGGGAATTGACTTTAGGACTCTGCTAAGAAAGTGGTCACTTTAGGAAGGCCATGGTCAACTATAGCGTAGACCTGGGGGATGAAGTAGTTTTGTAGAAAATACTTTGCACTTGGATTTTCAGAGGACTTATTAGTGGGCTGCTTTTTACTGACCCGTTTTTCTCCATAGATCCATTTTCAGCCAATAGTCTTCAGACTTTATATGTTCTCCTTGGGTCAGCTTATCCATTTCTATATCTTTAACACCATCTATGCTAATGACACACAAATCTCTACTCAGTCCAAATCTTTCCTCTTAGTTTGGACCTGTGTATCCAAGATGATACTAGATACATATACATCCATATCCTCAGGCATGCCCTTCAACCCTAACCTATCTATTCAGTCCTGTACTCACTATCTTACAGAAAAACCTTTTCTCTTAGGAAATCATTCTCCATCCTCAACCCAGAATGTGGGAATCATTCTTGATTCTTCTATCTCTGTCTGTCTCATCCACTGTGCCAACTAGTTATTTAATCTTACCTATTTAATCCTACCTATTTTTCCTCATTTTTCTCTCTTCACTTCCATAATTTCCATTCCTCTTTTGGTAGTTTCCCATTATATGTCCCATTTCCACTTTTATATCACACTAATGCATCCATCAAACAGTTGATGGATTATTTTTTCAGTAAAAGACAATTCAACACCTGCTTTCCAAGTTAAAATCTTCTAGTGTCGAAACAGCCACTCATATTTCATTTATTAAATGTTGGCTTTCATCACATTCATAGCCTATTCTCAGTTTAAGTGTATATTTATAACCTCCATAAAAACTCACTTATTCTATACAATGTTCAGTTTTTTTCTGGTACTACTGACATTTATTTTTTAAATATTTTATTTATTTATTTGACAGAGAGAGAGAGAGTACAAGTAGGCAAAGAGACAGGCAGAGAGAGAGGGTGAAGTAGGCTCCCTGCTGAGCAGAGAACCCGATGCGGGGCTCGATCCCAGGACCCTGAGATCATGACCTGAGCCGAAGGCAGAGGATTAACCCACTTAGCCACCCAGGCACCCCTTGACATTTAATCTCTAAATTTTACATAAAGAATTTTGAATACATAGTGATATGAAAAGATCGTTTCTGTTTAGAAGAAGTTATTTTAACTATGTATTGAGAGCAAATAGGAAAATACAGGTAAAGTACTGGCCTAGTGGAAGGCTTCATCACTGTTAATTTTCTTCTCACTCTAAGAGAAAGAAGAATGCTTTACACAAGTTATTGTACATGAAGCTAACTCCAGTTTCATATGATGGTGTTCTGTTATTTGATCCATCATCAATTCACTTCAATTTAAGGGCTTATAGAGCTTGGTGGGACCTGCAAATCATAAAGGGTTTATTTGAAGTCAAAAAATTAATGAAGAAAAGTGATTTACCTAAATCTAAGTTTTGCTTGTCAGTAAAAATAAAAGTACGATATTTAAAGTTAGAAATGGACAGACTTCCTGGAAAACTGAGTCTTCTTTAGGACTTGGCTGGGAAACTTCCTCTCTATAAGGGACAACTGGAAGACTTGCCTGAATTTCTAGCAATATGGTTTTAGAAAAGGTGGGTACATTCAGACACTTGACCTGAAAAGCAATCTTACTAATGGTTATAAAGCATATGCTTTGTATGAAAAGATGTACACTTTATTTTTTTTATTTTATTTTTTTAAAGACTTTATTTATTTATTTCACAGACAGAGATCACAAGCAGGCAGAAAAGCAGGCAGAGAGAGAGGAGGAAGCAGGCTCCCTGCTGAGCAGAGAGCCCAATGTGGGGCTTGATCCCAGGACCCTGGGATCATGACCTGAGCCGAAGGCAGAGGCTTTAACCCACTGAGCCACCCAGGAGCCCCAAGATGCACACTTTAGACAAAAGTAGTGTGAAAGACTAGATTTCAACTGAAAGAATAAAGTTTTTAACTTGGATTCAGGCAGAAAGGGTGATTATGGCTGATCAAGATATATGCTCCAGAGATTAACCTGAGGACACAGCAAAGAGAGGATCTGAGACAAATGACTAAGAATGAGAAATGGTATCTTATTAGAAACACAATTTAATTCTGTGGCTCTCAAAGAGTAGTGATTTGGTGTCTTCATTTTTTTCCTTGGGTTTTTCTAAGTTAGCCACAAAATTTTTAGTATTGATGTTCTCTTTATCAATTACATTCTTCTCAATAGGAGAGTAATCAACTGAACAGTGGGAGGAAATGGGATTCTGGAAAATTAGCTATAGTTCATTACTAAGTGAAGAATGTGCAACTATTGATTTCAGGGTCATGAGCTGGAGTGCTATGTTGGGTGCAGAGATCACTTAAAAAAATAAAGCTCATTAGTAAGTGAATTGGACTTTTAATTGGCCATATATTGATAATGAATTTTTTAAAAATAATAATTAAAACATTTCTGCAAGTATGTGTTAGTTTCATAGCAATCAGGATACAGGCAATAAATGGGTATTTCTCTGACATTGGCTAGAATGTGGCCTTGAAATAAGAATTTCAACTTAGAAAAACAAAAGTTGTCAGAAAATTTCCATTTCAAGGTAAATAAGCAGAATGGGGACATTAAGGGGAATAAAAAAAGATCAAATAAAAAACTTATCAATGTCTTTTGGAAAGCTTTACCTTTCTTTAAAATATTTTAAAAAATGAATTAGAGAAAGGTAAATAAAAACTATATTCCTATATGTAAGTGATTATTTGTGGGTCTGTAGCAAGCACTTATATAAAAATCCTTCCCCCCCACCGAAGACTATCACCTCAGACTTCACTCTTATTTTATTGAATTCTATGGCTTCCCAAACATTTTTCATAACTACGTTATGTGACTTAATAGTATAATGTCCTTAACACTCTTATAACTTGGTTTGTCTATGCTTTTAGCTTCTTTCTTTTCTTTTCTTTTCTTTTTTTTTTTTTTTTAGCTTATTTCTTTTATATGCCCCTTCATCTTTATGTCTGTGGACATAATAGAGATACATCATAAATTATGTAATCCCAGGTACTCATGAAGGCTATGAAAAAAATACATAAAGTACTATAATGAAATGGATAATGTAGGCAAGAGGGCAGAAGACTAGGTAAGCTGGTCAGGAGAAGTCTCTCCGAGGAAGGAAAATTTGAGTACAGCACATAATCAAATAGACAGCAGAAGATCTGCAGCAAAGATCTGTCTTCTGAGCAGAAGGAATAGCAAGTCCAAAGCCTCTGAGGTAAAAACAATCTTGGAACGTTTGAGGCATAGCAAGATGGCCAGGATTACTGACACGGTACACAAAGACAGAGAGAAGGAGATGAACTTGAAGATGTGTGAGGTATTTGAGGTGTAGTATAGAATATAAATCTCACCCTGGGTGAAATGGAAAAGCATTAGAGTTTTAAGAGCATGTTAATGTCATCGTCACATTTATGTTTTTAAAGGGACACTGGTAAGAGTGGAAAGAAGCAGACCAGTTAGGTGGTTACTTCAGCAGCCTAACTGAGGCATAATGGTGGCCTGGATGAGATGGCTACTGGCAGATTTAAAAGGTGATTGGGTTTGGGATATATCGAAGGCAAGAAACATGATGATGGATTATATTTGAAGTGTAGAGAGAACAGAAGAATCAGAGTTGACACCTCAGTTTTTGTTTGAAAAATTGATTAAGTGAGGTTTCCAGTTACTGTGATGGAGAAGCCTGGGGATGAAGGAAAATTGAGGGTGTGAAAAATCAAGGGTTTTGTTCTGGGCATATGATGCTGAGAAAATATGTTGTATAATTAACTTAAAATACGAATCTGAACAGGAGAAGAGGTATACATTAAGGGATCAGTGATGTCTTATGTTTTTTTCTCTTGTAGAAAAATAGACTATTTTTTATTTTTTAATCTACAGATTTATTATAAAGTATTTCCTCCTAAGTATTTACATTTTACTTCAGACTATATTATTTTTTCTCCTTTGAAAAAAACCTATATATTCTTTGAATATTAGATAAAAATTTGATCATTGCACATGATTGAACAGGCATGACATACAAGATTCTGGGCTAGATAAGAAAGAATGGGTTATATCTCTTTTCCAGTTCTCGATTAACTTCTTATTGCTATTTTCTATCTCTTCTCTTCAAACAATAAAAACAGGAAGTTAGGAAAATATGCTAACCCTCAGAGCAAATGCTAAAAGTATAAAAGGCAGAGTTATCTTTTTGCTTAGCATAGTCTTTCCTGGGAGACAGGTATCGTTTCAAGTCAAATAAAGCAAAATATGATGCATGTTTTTTCATTTGCCTGGTCCTCTTAGGCTTGGTGGAGGGAACACCTCCTACAACATGGACTTGATCTCAAGTCTGTAAACTGGCAGAAAAAATAAGAAACATGTAAAACAATACAAAAACATGAAAATAATATAAATTACCAATATGCAAACGCTATACCTGGTTAAATAAGAGACAGATATTATGGTAGTGCTGGCTTTGTCACAGTTAAACTGTATGCAGATATGCGCAAAGACGAGAACACTAATGTGAAAGCCATATGTGAGCACGACTTACCAAGTGGTTGGCCGGCAATGATCCTGGCATTTTCTCCAGCCACTGCCGCTCTTGCGTGTCGCTCACTCATGTACTGTACAAATGCATAACCCTTGTGAACTGAGCATCCAACTATTTTTCCATACTTTGAGAAAATGGCTTCAATGTCAACTTTCTTGACAATGGCTGTATTTAGATTGCCGATGAAAACTCGGGAGTTGATGGACTTGGGGTCATTCTTATTGGTGACATTGCTGGTCTGTGTTTTGCCAGTCATGGTTGGCTCACCTTGTTTTAATCCTTAAACAAACAAACAGAAATAATCAAAAAGAAAAGAATTAGGTTGGATGGATACTCCCAATATTTAACATTTTTCAACAGTGTACCAGGTAATCTCAAATCCATAATTACCGCTGATTTTCTTGAGAAGAAAATTTAGAAATGTAAAAGGTGAACACTGCATTACAAAATGAAGAAAACACTTATAAACACTTGGCGAATAGTTATAAATGGATTCCTGATTTATTTATCCAAAATCCAGCCTCACATAATGACGAAAACTTTTGTAGTTGTTTGTATTTTTCAGTCAATTTCTCAGAAGCAAGTCTGAGTAAGTCACCTTATATTGTTGAGCACATGCATTTTTAACTCTACATTTTCCATAAAATATACATATATTGGATCTTTCATTATCGGAAACTTTTTATCAGAAACTAACAATTCTTTCCACTAAATGCTGTAGGAGTGAAAAAAGGTTTAAAAATTTATTTAAAAATTTAACATAAGAAAAATGTAATTGTGTAAGTAAGGGATTTAACCAGAGTTAATTCTGTACATTGTCTTAATGGAGCCAATATCATATATTGGTTTAAAAAAAAAAAAAAAAGACAACATGTGTAGCCAGTTTTCATCAATGATCAGCAAATTAGTAGACTGGGCATCTGTGTTGAAATTTCTATTCTCAAACTCATTTTTAATTCATTTAACTAACAGCTCCTATGTTGCCCAAGGACTGCCAGTATTTCTAAAAACTGTTTTCTGAGCTTGGCAGAGTATTTAATTGTGCTTAATTAAACTCAATGAAACTTTTATTTCTAAGTACTCCAGCACTTGCAGATTTATTTTTATAAGGTTTTAAAAATTCATTCATTTGTTTATTCAACAATATTTATTAAGCACTTTTTTTCTTTCTTCTTTCTTTCTCTTTCTCTTTCCTCCCTCCCTCTTCCTTCCTTCCTTCCCTCCTTTTCCTTCCTTTCCCTTCATTCCTTTCATCCTTCCATTCTTCCCTTCCTCCTTCCCCCCTTCCTCTCTCCCTCCCTCCCTTCCTTTTGTATTTTTTTGTTTGTTTGTTTTTGGCCAGACATTTTCTTCTAAAGTGACTACCACTTTTAAAAAACCAATATGGTGAAACTAAAAATTTCAACAAGGATACAATCTCTGACATTGATGATCATTGTTAAACATTAGCTAATTAATACATTTTATCAGTGCTATCTATCTATATATAGATAGATATACACATACATATCTATATACATATATATATACTTTCATATGAATAATCTCTTTTAAAACCTTATGGCTATAAAAATAATAAATAAATACATCTTTTTAAAAAATAATTTTAAATAATATTTCTAAGTTGAGCATTAAAGTGGTAGAAATCTTAAATGCATATAAATTGAATATGTTTGAAAATTTACTGACTAAACCAGATACTTCTGAAATCAAGAGCAACCAAATAACATAAAAATGATTCAAATTAGGTTGTTAATGATCACATCTTGGATTATTAAAATTTTACTAAATATTGGACAGTCAAAATTATACATAACCCTTTATAATGAAGTTTGATTTTATAAACATTTAGATATTCCATAAAAAGTAATAGTATGGCATCATTCAAATCAAGGATTATGTTGTTTTCTTGTTTTGTTTTAGTTTAGCTAGACTTAAGTGGTTGTTTTATGAATTATTCAGGATTAGGGTTAAAGGAAAGGAAAGCTGGTAATTTTGTTTTTAATTTTGCAACTTGAGCTATTGCATATCTCAAGACAAATGCTCTGAGAATCAACTAGATACAGAAAAGTCAAGGTGAACATATGTATTTTAAACAAATGACTAGCTACCTCATATAATTTCATGTATTTTAATCACACTGAAAGGGAAAACTAAAGATCCATTTTGGGGGCTCCAAAATCCATAGTTACCTTTCTTACCACTCCAGGCCAACATCAATAATGTAATTCATAGAAATACTCTTATTTCCTTTTTGCTCTTATGTGATCAGTGTTTTTAGAAATATAGTAGAGTTACTTTCAATAATAAACCATGACGATGGTTGATGTTTTATTTCCTAAAGAGGGATGAACTGGTTAAAATGCAAACTCAAGAACTGTTCAAGTGGGTCAGACCCATGGCTGACAGAGCCCAGTGGTCTGTCTTTGATAATGACCCCAAGCCAAATTTAAGATGAAGGCACAGCTATCCTAGAATTCCACATGCTCTCTGACTGCATCTTTTTAAATATCAACATGCTCTCTCTGACTGCATCTTTTTAAATATCAACATAATCTCTCTGACTGCATCTTTTTGCTCTATGTAAATGATTCTCAAAGCTGTAACTCCAAATTGCCAATTGTGTAATTCTTCTTATTGATTCTTCATCACCTTACAGTCTGTATGTGTCTACTCTCTCACATAAAATTACTTGCCAGTTTCTATCAGCATTTATAATGACAGAGTTTTGTCTCAGTTATACATTAACATTTCAACATTCTGCAAAATTGTCTTAATTCATAGTATGATATTTAGCTTGTACTTCTATATTACATGAATCTTCAATCAGTCGAAGGACTTCACTTTCAGACATGATAGAATAACAGGGGTTTTAATCTTCCTAACTCCAAAAACTAGAAAATCAGGTTAACATAGACGAAATGACTGTTTTCAGACATTAAACCACAGGCATCACAGAGCCATGACATCTAAGAGAAAAGGAACATATTTCAGGTCATAGAGCTGCAATATGTGTATATGTGTAATGTGTTCGCATACGTGTGACTGAAAGCAGAGACAGCTACCTTACTGAGTTGAGGCAATAGAAATCAGAGCTCAGGGAATCTGACGAAGCAGGAAATTGTGAGGCAGATTTCTAGAAAGAAGAGAGTTATTCAGACTACTCCAGTTGTCTTCGGGATCTTTTGAATCTATGTTGGTTCCTAGAATATGCATGCAAAAGTTCAGCTTCTATGAGGTTGGTTAAAAACTTATTGGAAAGCTGTCAGTTACCAGACCCATAAAAGGCTGAGAATAATTCAAGTTCCTACCAGCAACAGTAGAGTGTCCAAACCGACCCCTGGAGCATTATGTTCAGACACCAGATAAATGATCCCTACAGTAAAAGGTACTCTGGGACTATTCTAAAAAAACTTAAGAACAAGTCTGAAGATGATCGAACTAAACCAAAAACAATCCAAAGGTCTACCAGAGCAAAGCACAATACTTATTTTAAGAACTAAAACTCAGACAACACAAAATACAAAATCTTTAGCATCCAAGAAAAAATTCCTAGAGATCCCATGAATTGAAAAGTGTGACCCATAACCAGGAGAAAAATTAATGATATAAAAAAAGAACCAAAGGAATGTCTACACTCTTAATCTCAGGAAACAAACTGAGGGTTACTGGGCGGGGGGGAAGAATAGGGTGTTTGGGTTATGAACATTGGGGAGGGTATGTGCTATGGAGAGTGCTGTGAAGTGTGTAAGACATCTGATGATTCACAGACCTGGGACCCTGAAGCAAATAATACATTATATGTTAACAAAGGAACATCTACAGATGAAAACTAGATCTAAAATTAAAAATATGTACTTAATGGATATTATAGGTGATAAGACTCTGCAGAAAAACAGATTTGTGAATTTGAAGTTATGGAAATAGTGAATATCCAAGATGTATTATAGAGATAAAACGCTAAGAAAAAAAGCTGAGCAGAGAGCCTCAGTAAATCAAATGATAGTATCGAGCTATTTAATACACATACACCTGGAGTCCCACAGGGGTAAAAATACTCAAAAGAACAATAGTCAAATATCTCCCAAATTTGATGAAAATTATATCATCCCACAGATCCAAGAATCTCACTGAATTCTAATCAGAATAAACAAAACGACAGACCGATCATAATCAAATTGCTGAAAACCACTGAGAAAAAGAAAAATCAAGGAACTCTGAGGTACTGAAAAAATGCTTACATTGTAAGAATAGTCAAGGAGATGTTATAGCTACAAAGCAAATGACAAGAGAAAAATGAATATTTTGGTGAAAATGCAACTAATCCTAGAACTTGTCTCTTTGTTATTAAGCTAGAAGTTTGAATGGAGCAGTGTTAAGTGTTTATGAAGGCTGCTGTATGATAAACTATAAACCACTGAAGCCCCACAGAATTTTCTATAAAGATGGATATATTCCATACCTACACTATCCAAAATGGTAGTCAATAACCCCATGTGACTTTTGAGATCTTAACTCTTGCCGCTATGAGTGAAGTACTGTATTTTTAATTTTATCTAGTTAAAATTAAAGCAATATTTTAATGCATTTTTGTACCCAAAAAGGCTAAACAGGACTCTTGTCTTTTAAAAATATATTTACTGTATAACTCAAAAACTATTTGTTTATTTGTGTATTACAGAATATGTTTTTGGTCCCAGAAACTTACAAAAGATATGATGGTATTAGATATATTTCAGAAGAAGAATAATTAAAAATTTAAACAGTTGCCATATGAAGACTAATGTCAGAGTACTGTGGAAAGACCTAAGATGCCCTTCAACAGACAAATGGATAAAGAAGATGTGGTCCACACACACAATGGAATATTACTCAGCCACCAGAAAGGATGATTACTGAACTTTTGCATCAACAAGGATGGGACTGGAGGAGATTATGCTAAGTGAAAGAAGTCAAACAGAGAAAGTCAATTATCATACAGTTTCACTTATTTGTGGAACATAGGAATAGCATGGAGGACATTAGGAGAAGGAAGGGAAAAATGAAAGGAGAGAAATTGAAGTGGGAGATGAACCACGAGAAACTATGGACTCTGAGAATCAAACCAAGGGTTTCAGAGGGGAGGTGGGTGGGGGGATGGGTGAGTGGGGGTGGTGGGTATTAAAGAGGGCACAAATTGCATAAAGCACTGGGTGCTGTATGCAAACAATGAATCTTGGAACACTACATCAAAACTAGTGATGTACTGTACGGTAACTAACACGATATTAAAAAAAAAA